AAGGTTCTCCACCTTGGGAAGAAAAACCTGCAGCATCCTTATAGGCCCGGCAGTGCTACGCTGGCTAGCACTACGGATGAAAGGGACTTGGGGGTCATGATTGACCACAAGACGAACATGAGCTTTCAGTGTGATGCTGCAGCTAGTAAAGCAAGCAAAATGCTGGCTTGCATCCATAGATGCTTCTCAAGCAAATCCCAGGACGTCATTTTCCCGTCGTACTTGTCCTTGGTGAGGCGGCAGCTGGAGTACTGCATCCAGTTTTGGGCTCCACAATTCAAAAAGGATGTGGAGAAGCTTGAGAGATTCTACAGAAGAGCCACGTGCATGATCAGAGGTCAAGAAAACAGAGCTTACGATGTTCACCAGAGCGCCCCAAGGGATGACAAGGTTGAACGGCTATAAATTCCTGCAAGACTGTTTCAGGCTGGACATAAGGAAGAACTTCTTTACTGTCCGAGCTCCCGAAGCCTGGAATAGCCTGCCATTGGAGGTCGCTCAAGCACCTACTTGGAACACCTTCAAGAGAAATTTGGACGTTTATCTTGCTGGGATCCTATGACTCCAGCTGACTTCCTCCCCCTGGGTCAGGGGGCTGGACTCGATCTTCCGAGGTCCCTTCCAGCCCTAATGTCTATGAAATCTATGAAAACATTCAACCAGGTTTATCTTAAACCAGATTCCGCCATTTTAAACTGGTTTATGTGCAGTGAACTTATTCTCTGTTACAGGTTTAAATCAGTTTCTGATTACTTAAACTGGTTTGTGGGTAACTTCTGGTTCCTAGCCAAAATGCCAGTTAACGTTACTAAGGAAACAACTCAGTAAAACAAAAATTAACATAACAAGATTCTCAGGAGGCATCTTGCACAGCCAAAAATGAAATTTCAAGCACCTTTAATTCTGACTTGCAGCAGAAATCTGTATTTAAAAAATCTTGTTTGCATCAATATAATAAAGCCATATTCATGCAGTGACATCAGCAAACAATCACAACAGGACAAGGAAACTTATTTTAACTTCTATCATTTGAGAAATTAAGTCAACTTAATAGACATGTCTCATGTACAGCTAAAGCTAAGCAAAGCTGTTATAACTTACAAACTAAAACATTTATTTTTTCCAGAGATTAGAAAAGACTTTAAACTCAGCCGCAAATTAGATTCTTGTTTGACAATTATTAAGGAAATAAGCTATTTAAACTATAATTCTATCCTTAATTCACCATGATACATGTAACGCTAACATACACATTTACTACTTTGTCTATTTTTCTAATATTGCTGCCATTCTAAATTACCTGTTAAAAATCACACTGTTGAAGTTATTTCAATACAGAATTTCAGTCTAGTTATCTTAGCTATGCTCTACAAACTCTGTAAAGAAAATCAGCAAACATTTTTAAGGGTTTTTTTAAAAAAAGAAACTTACGTGGGTTTTGGACATTGGAGATGCTGTTTTCATTCATTCTAGTGTCGTTCTAGTTGTATACTAAGGAAATTAAAAACAAAGACTCAAATACATCTAGTGTGTTGAAAATGCATTAGATCATTACATCCAGTTTAGTGCATTTAATCTACATTTTCATTTAATTTCAAGTGAAAAAAATCACATTTCCTACTTCTAACTTTTTCTTTTGCAATATTAGCTCCTTTTTCTATGACACAACCAAGAAGAGGAAGATTTAATTCAAATTCTCTGTAATTGAAAGGTTGAAATTATAGACAGCAAAAGTTTAGAAAAATATACTTCAAGAGAAGCTATGTTTTTTATTAATGCAAATTCTTATTTCCCCAGTACATGTAACATTTTTAACAAATGCTAGAAATACTTGTCAAGAAAATAGCATAAACATTCCAAAAATTATAAGAATCAAGATTCTTGCTTGTAAAAACTTGAAAATACTAACACCATTATAGACTTGGTCATTTTGATACTTTTGTACAATCACCAGTTCCATGGTTGTACCAGCTGTGCGCACACCTCTGCGCATAACTGGAAAGGTGCCTGGGGCAGTGCAACCCTGGCTTCTCCCCCACTGTCTGCACAGAGGGATGTGTGCAGCTGCCAAAGCCAGGGAGCCTGTGCCAGGGCTGCAGACCCTGTTACAGCTGTTTGCAGCCTTCCAGCCACCTGCTACAGCTGCAGAGAGCCTATTTCCAGATCTAACTGGAAATACAACATACAAAGGTGAAGGTAGCCAAACCAAGCTGATTCTCCCAAGTAAGCAGGTATTCAGGCTGATCACGTGGGTGGGCAGGGAGACAATGAGCTTCTAATCTTCTAACAAATACCCAGAGGTTATAAAATAAAGGGGATCTCATAAGCATATGGGACAAAGTTTGAGCAGTGGTAGAGCAGATATAGCAGAACTGAGAAAAATCCATATTTTGAAGCAGAAGTGGGATCCTAGACTCTTAGAGGACTCTAACCTAAGCCCACAGAATAGCAAAGCTGGTAAGGAAAATGAGATAGGGAATGCTTATTTTGTCTAGATCTATGCATTTCTTGTGCTACCTAAAATAAAGAATAACTATATTTAAAAACTCTTATAAAGTCTGTATATGTGTGTTGAAAGTGGCATCTATACATGTGCTCCAGGGTGGAGGTGGGGCACTAGAATTAGAGTGGCTCTGAGACCTGCTCTAATTAAAGTAGCCACAGCATCACATGTATTTAGTGTCCTATGCTTCAAAATGGCTCACTTGACAAGCTTTTAAGTGCCCCCACAACCATTTTGAAGAGTGGGGATGAATAGAGGCTGCTGAGGGCATATTAATTAGCACATCAGAGCAGATATCTCGCATGTGTATAAATGCCTAGTATGTTTTGAACTATTATATATTTCTGGGAAGGGAACTTTAAAACCAAAATGGTCTTGTGGCTCAGGTTCTGGGAAGGTTGCACTTAAGGTACTAGAGTCTGGGGGCTTTCCTCAGGACTAGTATGGCTGAACTGTGTTTTCAGTGCTGCAAAAGCTAACAGATCCTGCAAATATGCCATAAAGAGTGCAGCTTGGGAGCACACTGCATTGTGTTTATAATATTGTGTTCCCCACAGACCAGACAAGGGAGCCTCCTGCAGAGGCCCACCACTGTGGTAACAGCACAATTTAAGTCAACTAAACTGGATGACAATGACCAATAAACAGAGCTGTCTTTTCTCATCCTTCTTTGAGGGAGGCCAAGAATAGGACTTATGCTGCTTCTTACCTCTTCGGAATGCTCTGCAACGTGCTTTGGCTTGCTCCTCAAAAGCCACTGGTACTCTCAATGTCCTCAAGCTGCTATAGTACTTCAACTGAGAGATTATCTGAAAGGGCAGAGGATACCAGTCTCCTCAATTTAATGAACTGCATGAAAACCCTAAAGACAGAAGAAGAGCAGAAATATGGCTGGCAGTAAGAACCAGAACCATCCTCCCCTTCCCACACATACCCCACCAGGAGGAGAGACGCAGAGAGAGAGATGTGATGTTTTAAGCCTTTATTATACAAATATTAAAAACAAAAGGTAAAAGTGCAAGTGTGTGGTCCTTCTGCAGAAACAGCATGCTGCTGACACTGCTGGGTCTAAAATGGTCAAAGGTACTTGTAGCCAGGGCCCCATGTAGCAGTCACTAGAGGTCACCAACTCTCATGGCAACAGACAGCTTTTACATGGTATTCCAGGCTGCGTGGGCTTGATCTGGTCATGTCAGAGCAGGTGGCAAGGACATGGGCATGATGCATTTTGACTGCCCATGTGTAAAGTGCCTTTCCAGACAAGATCTTGAAACAGCCACCCATCACTGTTCTTGTTGGGAACAGAGGGACAAGTGGGTATTGGGCCCACCTCTCACTGCTGTCCACAGCTGGAGAAATAGGCAGTGATGTGGGGGCAGGAAAAATCTATCTAGCAAATTGCTATTAGGGAGAATTCATTGTGTGGGAGGGGGTCCTCCAGGGTAGCAGGTGGTCTACCAAGAGGCATGAAACAAAGTAGAAAGAGTGTAGGCCCAGTCAGTTGGCCGGGGCTTTTGCTGACAGCCAAGCAAGTCATGGTTAACCCAATTTAAGGCTTTTTCTTGGTCCAGGGAGAAAAGGCTGGTGTTCAGGATGAAGAGCTCCATGGCTGCTAGCAGGTCACATAGCAGAAGGCTCTCCTGGATAATTCTGCCAGGTATGCATTAACTCTGTTCAGGGCCTGTGGAAGAGGCCAAGATCATTTTGTATCAGTTGGCCCGGGCTCTGGTCAGGATTTTGTAATCAGTGCACAGGAGCAATATTGGCTGCCAATTCAGAGAGATCCCCTTTTTCAGTCAGCAGCATGAGGACTGCTTGCCAGCAGCTGACACACAGAAGAGCCCAGGCCAAAGATAGGCCAGAAAGTCTTGCAGAATTTCAGATAATTTGTTAGGGCCTCATGCTTTCCCTGTGACAAGGCCTTCAACAGCAGCAGTCTACCTGTTTGAACTCATCGGCCTCAAATGTGGTGAGCTTGGGGAGGCCCTTGTGCAGATGTTGAACCATAAGAGAGAAAAGCTGTTGTTGCTAAAAGAGCAGACTTCTGTTCTCCTCTATCCCTGCCAATACAGCATACCCTTAAGCTCCTGCTTAACCTTTCAAGGGTTGGTGGGGGCAAATGACTATGCATGCGTGAAACCCCAGGTGCAACCTGCAGGAAGTGCCACTGGTGTCAACGGTTTTCCTGCAAGAAAAACTGCCGGATTGGTTTCATTATGTAAACAGCACAACCTAGAGAGACCAGGAAAGAAAACCTTCTGTCAGAGCTACAACATGCTCATCTCGAGAGAAACAGAAGAAAGAAGGAAACTACTAAACTATGGGTGCCATCCTCACAAGTTTGCCAGTGTAAACAAAATGCCAGATGGGTCAAATAAAGCCACTCCAGCCTGCCACTCATTCTGAAAGCAAGCACTTCCCTTTTCCACTTAGCAGCTAAAATCCTGGCAGACCAAACTTGGAGGCATATTACCTAGATCTTAAGGCAGCAGCTCGTAACCTTGCCAGATGCCAGGCACCCCTTGGAAAGTGCCAGCTGTTAATTTTCACTCCTTCTCCAATTACAAGAAGAAACAGAGCAATTCTCCTGTTCCCAAGAGCTCAGCAACGGTCTGTCCAGTGTCTGAGAGTACTTGGAGTCACGGCACCCGCCTGGTACTCCCCCCCCCC